GCAATTCAAGAACTTTTTTTTTTAATGTGGAGATTATTAATTTTTGTTAATTCTTGCTACGAAAGTTAAAACTTGGAAATTTCATTGGATAGGAGAAGTTTATACTGAAACAATACGAAAGACAAAGATTAAAATTATAATATACTGATAAAGTGAACTTAAATTGAAAAACGTTCCCCCGTTTGATTTTTCCATTAGATTCGTGGAATTCTATTCCGTTTTGGAAAAATTCAGTTTGGCGATGGAAGACGTAGCATAATTTTTCGATCGTAATATTCGATGCTAGGCAACGGATACTCTGCTTCGAGCAGTACATGTATTTGCATATACTCGTACACGGCGCGAGTATTATGCATTCATGCGCATGCGTACATCCGCGAGATGCAATCGCCTCTTTCCTTTAAACGGAACAATGCAAATTTTTTCATGTAAATCGGAACGAACATTGGCATAAAAAGGTGATCAATCTGCGAGATAATTGGAAATAGAGCATGTTTAAAGTTGCGAGACGAGTCTGAGAGATCGAAAGCGCAAACTCGCGGAGCGGTCGTTGCTGCATTGCGACACGGAAAAATCATCCAGCTTAAACACGGTTTCGTGTACCAATATCTCGTAAATTATTCGCCATTCGATGTTCGACGAAGAGGTAAATCGGAATTGGCACCATCTTCCATTGCCTTTATTACTTTTTTAAACAAACGAAGCATGGATCTTGCGAACCATAGAAAAAAAAAAGGAAACTTTGATTTCCAAATTTATTTCTTGAAACGTTTCAATTTGAGAATTGTTATATGTTCCACGGTGATAAGTCAAAGTGTTAACGGTCAATTTGGTGAATTTCTCGTTGAGCTACCGGACCTCGATCGTCCCTGGAGCGATGAAAGGGCACAATGGCTCGGTTTCTCCGCCATGACGGTTTTGCGCAACGCGATCTAGTTTCGCGACGACGATAGAAAAGTGGAGGAGTAACGATCGGTGGCCGAAGTTTCAGCAACGACGGTCCGATCGGCCCCCAGGCGAATGGTCGAATCGTGAAGTTCGACGGTCTCGCAACGATTTCACGATGTAAAAAAAAAAAAGAATCCAACGAAACGCCTCTACCGATCGATCTCTCGAGACGTGCCGCGAAGGAAACGACCACTGACGGAATTGGCTAACGAGAACCGATAAACACCACGGTTTCTCCGAATTTGTATCCTTTCTGCGGTTCGCCGATCGACACCTGTTCCCCGCTTTTCCCGCCGTGTCGATCGTTCGACCAACTTCCTGCTTCTCGTTTCGTCGACGTTTCTTTTCCCTCCGAGAACCATTTTAACGAATCGGAGAAGCAGAGGGCCAGAAAAACCAAATCCTTCGAACGATCGACGGTTCAATTATTCGATACGCGCGTTAAAAGTAGATTCTAGAATTTATAATTTCGAGAAACGTGGAAAAACATTGAGTTTTCTTTGTTAAAAAGCCTCTCAATAAATTAAATTTAAAACAGGACCCTCGAGTTTCAACTTTATTCGATGCTGTTTAGAAGATCAACGAGGAGTATAATCGCCTCTAAACGTACCGATTACTGTCTTCGAATAATATTAGAATTCCGGCTAGATGAAAGCAGATACAACGCAACAATATATTTCGTTAATAGGTTGTTGCATAACACAGAATTATAACGAAACGTAAGGCAGTAATTGATGCTCGAGTACCGACTTCCAGAAACTCGATGCGCAGGATGTTTTTAACCGGTGATTTCCAAATTTTATGGCGGGCTACTCCTTCCACGAAAGGTTCGAAATGGTCCGTGTAAAAAGAGAAAATTTCAGCGCCAGAGATTTACGAACAAAAAATTGTATTGTGTTTCCTTCGATTCCCTTCGTTATTCGAATTTTTGTAGAGAGAACAATTCGCGATATATGTATGTCCAATTATCGTGGTACAATTTCTAATAATCGTAAACCACTCATCGAGGATGTGCTTCTGTCTCGATCGGAAGATTTCTATTTCCAATTTCATTTGTTACTGACCGTCCGTCCCCTCCGTTGTCCTCGATATAATACGTAGCATTAATTTTTTGATACGTTCGAGTAAAAGTAATTTAGCTTCTCGTGACTCGTTTCAAGTTCTACGTATAACTTGTCCGAGTTGTAATTGAGATCGGCATCTATCTGGATTTTCGCTCGCAAGAAACCCAATTAGCTACGACGGGGGAGCCTGATTGGTGGGAAAAGATATCTGTGATTGAGAGTCGTCATTTCGCTGGATAAAACTTCTGTACGCGCAGCGGCGATGTAGAAATGGCAGTGATAAACACTTGCGTATAGAAAAATCACGAATCGGTAGTTGAATACTAATCGAGCTCACCTTTTGCCTAGATTCTGCATTTTTCCGGAACATTAATTAACCTCGATGGAAAAGTTCCAACGGGAGGAAGGAGATTAGTTATCTAATATCGACTGAATACTATCTAACGAATTCAAACACTTTGATAATTTTATAACGCTTTCTCTTAAATATGTTAACAAGGATGCAATCGTAGGTTCGAGTTTACTTTAATGCCCGTCTCTTTTTACCTGCGTTCATTAGTATTTCGAAGCTAAGAACTAGAGATTCAATTTCTCTGTGGGAACGAATTGTGTCGTAATAATGGAGGCCTCGAATGCGTTCAGCCTTATGGTCGTAAACGTCAAACGTCATAGGCTTAATCGGCATTAAAAGCTCATTGATGAATTATCGCGGCGATCGCTGTTTATACTCGTCCCTGTCGGCGTTTTACAAGGAAATCTAATGAATAGTAATAGCGATAGTAATAGAAATACTAATAGAAACAATGAATAATAAATTGACCACGTTAAAAATTCTATTAAGCTCTTCGGCATTAACTTCCCTCTGCGAAAAGGTTGAAGGTATAAATTTCATCCAAAGTACACTGAAATTTAATAAAAATCACTCGACTTCCTTTGTTTCGCCTTTCGAATTTATTTCGGACTGAATTTCCTATTCGACGATTCTTTTTAAATCGAGAAAGCGCTGTCAATTTCGACAGATCTAGATTCTCGATTAATGATGCTGCCAATACGGTTCGCGATTTAATAGCGCCGTGTTGTTCGGACGAAGGAAGATGTTTAGACTGTCAGAGAAAGCAATCGCTTTTTCGACATCCGGCTATCGATTTACATCAACCTCGATCGATCGTTACCGAGTCTAAAACACTCTACATAGATCTGTGCTATAACGATGAATAAAACCTTGCTAGATACGAAGCAGAGCAAGAAGACAATTAAACGAAGCAATTGATCATTTTTCAAATTGCAGTAACTTCGAGAGCCTCGAGTTAACTTCTACGTAGCAGAGTCGTTGAATAAAAGAATCCAAGAGACAATGGTTACCAACAATCGATACGATTTGCCTTGCATCGATTACCAATATTCGCTCTCGTTTGCTTCCGTTCGCTGTGTGAGAAAGACGTCGGAGTCCTCGATGATCGTGGTCGTCGTCATTACGATTATTGCCGGTTAGTCCGCGTCTAGACGAATTTCAGTAAAAGGTATCCCGGGGGGCAGAATCCAATCAATCCGCGGCGGTGAACGCGACGTCCGTGTGCGGCGTGCCGGCGCGATCGGTACGGATGATCTAGTGCACGAGCGATTCCAGGACTCGATTTCGTAACGCCGAGAGACCGTTCCGTCCTCGGACATCCGGGTGCCGGAGCTGCAGAGAGTCGCGTAGCTGCAACGGCCCTCGATCAATTGTTATACACCGTGGCTGGCATTTAACCGCAGCTCACGAAGCGTGGCTCGCGTCTCCGCACTGTTGCCGCATTAATTTGGTACAGTGCGTTGTAGTATGATAGGCTCACGGAAAAGAAGGTTGCGCAAACGTTGCTTATGCCTCGTACAAGCGTTTGCGTCCGTGTACACACGGTCTACGTGTGCAAAGTTTCTGGTCTTTATGTCCCCCTCTCTCGCGTACAACATTCTCTCTCTCTTTCTCTCACTCTGCTGCCTCGACAGCCACGATATTTATCCTCTCCCTCTATCTAGCCGGCTAGATCTGTTTCTGTTTCTATCAGATATTCGACGTCCCTCTCTCGCGTTGGCGTTCCTCCTTCACGACTCCTCTGTCTCCCGGAGTACGCTGATCGGCTGTACCGGCTAGCCGACTCCGTCGGGCTGGCTATAGTGAATTTATATACGGCCACGGTGCGTTCCCACGCCTAGAGCATGCGAGAGAGCCCTGGCTGGCTCTTCGGCCTAATGCCCGCGTGGTACCGATCCTATTCCGCTGGCCCGTCGCCTAAGAAAACGCTGGAAAATCTGGGACACCGCGTCGCGGTATGCGCCATTGTCCTCGGACTTACTACGGGAGCCGATCTCGAGCGTGGTCGCCATTTTCGCCCGTCACGCCGTTTTGCAAGTTTGTCGCGCTCTCGACGTTGATCCGGTTTTCGTCTCCTTGCGCTGTCAACCGGCTAGATCAGGGTCACACCTTCCAACGGTGGGGAGGAGTGATATACAAAATGATCAACAAAATTTGGGAGTGCTATCCCTACGTTTCGACGATTGTTCTACTAAATGGTCGAATTCTTAGGGCATCAACTTCCAAATGCAAACCCCACTTGACCCTACTGTTTTTTTTTTTGTTCGACACTACTGGGCCACCCCAGTTCTCATATTATTTTTACAGAGGAGGACCAAACTATTCCGATCTAATAAAGACACGCTATAACGAAAAGTTCAACTCGACGCTAATAGAATATCGTTAGCGTAAAGATTATAGTAGAGAGCGTCGCTACGTTGCAACAGAACCGGGTCCAATACTCACCGAAGCTTCAATTCTATTTCTCCAGGTCGTTCCCCGAGTTCAAGGATGCGGTGGGCGATGAGGCACGAGGGTCACCTCTGCTGAAACGTATCCTCTACGCCACACCAGGAGCACCGCCAGCCGACAGAGGCCGCCAGTAGCCCGAACCTGGAGCAGAGCGAACCGCGAGGACGAAGTACTTAAAAGGTTTCATGGATCTAACGGAGGCATTCGCCCCGGGAGGGGGCGGGGAGGATCTGCCAAAGACCGACTTCTTCGACTTCGTCGTCTCCCCGCCGCCCCATTGCGCGTCCACGGACGGCATTTCCGACGAGGAGAGCTTCCTCCATCGCACGACCTGCCGAAGCATCGGTTACCTTCAGCAGAGCCACGAGGAGCACGAGGCAAGCCGCGATCTTCACGGCTCGCCGTTCATCAAAGAAACCAATAACAATACCTTGACGGCTCTGCCGCCCGTATCGACGATCACGAGCTCCCTGGGTCATCATCATCATCATCATCACGTGAGGACCCATCACAACGCCTGCAACGTACAGACCAGCAACGAGCAGACTCCCATGGACCAGTCGGACTGCGACTACTGGACCACCGACGAGAGCAAGGAGCAGACCTGCAACATACTCCTGGAGGATTTGAACAAGTACTGTTGGTCGGCCCACGCGAACACTCAGAGCCACGGTAACGAGAACGTGAGCGTTCACCAGGGCACCAACGACCATCATCAGGGCGTGGGTCGAGGATGCGCCGCGAACGACAGACAGAACACGGACGGAGCTATTTATACGTTAACAGTGCTGAACAACGAAGCGAACTCGATGGACGCGCTAGACTGTTGCAAGAGCCCAGCGCCGACGTCCAGCGACTCCTGGTCCCTGCGGCCCAATCTGGACCTGGACGCTATACTGAGTATGGAGCCCGCATCGTCCGAGCAGGAACACGACCAGTCCACGAACGTGAGCGAAGTGTCGCGGACGGTGAACGACAGGTTTCATCCGGACCGTTTCTCCGTCGCGTCGTCCCAGTACACCACCGACGACAGCGGTTTCGTCGAGAGCAAGGAGCTCTGCGGTCGAGCGTCGTCCAACAGCGGAAACTGCACCGGCGGCGACAACAATAACGACTGGAAGCTCTCGGATCAGAATCTGCAGGAGGCGGCGGCCGCGGCAGCAGCGGCTGCGGTCGCGGTGGGCGCTGGAGACTCGGCGGAGAGTCTCCTGAGAAGCGCCCTCCAGGGGAAGCTGTACACAGGCCCGGCCCAGGTGGTCTCCTCCTCGTCGCCGTCCAACCAGGGCACCGCCATGCCCATACCCGTCACGAGTAACGCTGCTCTGCAGATAGTCACTGACCAGCAGCAGCAACAGCAGCAGCAGCAGCAGCAGCAACAGCAACAGCAGCAGCAGCAGCAACAACAACAACAGCAGCAGGACGAATCCATGCACGCCTGCACCGACGAGGACCTCTTGTTATCGCAGTTGGACCAAACGACCTACCGACCTGGCGACTACGAGAAGCTGAAGAGCATAGCGAACGAAGTGGTCGAGTCCTACTGCAGCCTGGAACCTGTCTGCAACGTCTCCGCGACCACCACGGTGATGTACACCTTGGACCCGACGAGCGGCAGCCTGGGCACCATCACGCTTCCGGCGGACCTGGGCCAGGTGAGCACGGTGACGGTGGTCACGGCTGCTCAACAAGACGTCCTCCAGCAGCAAGCGGCTCCACGGGCCGAGGTGGAGCAGCAACAACCGACCAATCAGCTGCAGATGGCTCCTTCGAGGGTGGTGGCGACGAAAGCGCCGAAAAAGTACTGTAGACGCGCCAACAGAAACAGCAGCAACGCGAACGCGGCCAGCAACGGCAATAGCGGACCCGAGACTGCTGGAACCGTAGGCGGACAACAACAGGGTGCGTCGGGAGGCTCGCCGGGCAGCATTCAGCGCAAGGAACGTTCGCTGCACTACTGCAGCATCTGCAGTAAAGGGTTCAAGGACAAGTACAGCGTGAACGTGCACATCAGAACGCACACGGGCGAGAAACCCTTCGCCTGTTCCCTGTGCGGCAAGAGCTTCCGGCAGAAGGCCCACCTGGCGAAGCACTATCAGACGCACGTCACGCAGAAGCCCAGCGTCCAGCAACAGGCGACCGGGAACAGCGGCAGCAACAACGGGAACAGCGGGAACCCGAGCCCGTCGGCGGAGACCACCACCACCACGACGAGCAGCGTGACAAACAGGAGTCAACCGCATCAGGTGTCTGTCGATCCTTCGGGGACCGCCTGCAATCCACCCAGTTAGTCGGGCTGGGAGGACACTGGCCACCGATTTCTCGTATTCCCGTTAATTTTCACGCGCCGCGACTCCTGCCGCCCCTCTTCTCTTCCCTCGACGGCACGGCGCGAGGTCTCGTCCTTCTACTTTCTCTTCTCTGGATCTCTATTTCTGTCTCCTCCCACCCTCCACTGTCGCTGTTTCTTCTTGTTCTTCTCCCGATGTTTAGAGACTTCGTTCGCTAAGAGAGCCGAGCGAAGTGATTTACGATCAACGAGGTTAGAACCCGGTCACAGAGCGAACCCATGACTAATGGCGACGATTGCGAGATCGATGCGTCTATGGACTGACGTCAGACAGCCCGGCAGCTGGGAGCTTCGTCTCGCGATCGACCCACTCGTCCTAGAACGAATATTAGCGCCAACGGTGAATCCGCGAGGTCGCCTCGGGATTCGCTGATAATTTATTCCACGAGTTACGCGCGGGCTTTCGTCGCGCCGCGAATTCCGCGAAGGCTTTCTTCTCCCCCCGGCGTATCCGTCCTTGCCTCGCGCGTAACGAGGATTCTATCGATAGAACGCAGAAAACCGTCCACGGAGCCGCTAACGAATCGCAGTGACGCCCGCTTCTATGCACCAGAGCCGGTTACGCTCGATCGTGCGTCTCCAGAGGAGCTGGGAATCCGTCCAGGAATCGATTTTTCTGTCACGAGACTCGCGTGTACCGTTCGAGAGGGACGAGCGAACAGGATGTGTCGACAGCGAGCAAATCAAAGCGCGACGGGGCATCCATTGGATGAAAATTTTAATACCTACATTTTTTGTTGCATCTTTACGACAGTATTACCAACGGATCGGCGAGGTTTTTCTTATGAAAATGAGTCCAAACACGACCGTGTTTTCGCTATTTTTAACCCTTTTATGATCAATAAGGTGCTGAAATACGGTTGAGAAGCAAAGGTGTTTTTTATAGTAGTTGTTCTTGTCTATTTATTAGTGTGTCTTGGCACATTTTTTGTATCGTATCTGTCGAGTTTTATTTTATCTTTATCGATGGTATATTATTTATAGAATGTTTAGTATTGTATGTATAGTATTTATCTTGGTCTAAATGATTCTAAAACGGTTCTCTTTGTTCGTATCTCCGAAGGAATAAAAAATTTAAATTTCTATTTAAATAAAATAATCGAAATAAGGGTTTGGTCTCACTTTCAACTTGGAGTACATTGTGGATCCATCGACGATACTCAAACCCCGATGCAACGACAAATATACAAAATTTCGATTTTCCAGCAACGGTGCTCGTCTATCCGGGGAGAAACAGGTGGCATACAAGCGGGTGGTACTGTGCACCGTGAATTTATCCACGTTAAGACTAAGTTTCCAAGGCTTCCACGGCAGTTGTTCCTGTCGTCGGTCCAGACTTTCGGCTGTAAGGTGCGAGTGACCGATAACTTTGGGACACTTTTAATTTCTGTGCAAACGTTGCTTGCAGACGGAAGTCCGGATCGACGACGCGCGTAGCAAAAAGTGTCGAACTGATATTATTACGTATGCGGTCGTTCCGTCGATAAATTCACGTGGCAACGTAACCTAAAGCGGACGACCGAGCGGTCGTCATTTATTTTTCTACTACTCGTAATTAATCGGTCGAATCGTCGATCGACGGTGGCTGCATTCCGCGCCAGGCGACCCGGTGAAATTGTTGTTCCTAAGACGACTTATTGCCGTCCGACGAGAAACGAGCACGTCGACGACGATCGCGCACGGTCAACGATATTTAAATACCACTATGAGATATTAACGTTAACGATATTTTATACGAATGATTCTTCTTTTCATTGTTCTTTCATCTTCTTTTATTATGTTTTTTTTTATATATATATATGTGTGTAGCCACATACATAGATACATACACGCGTACACGTGTATGTATGTACGTATGCACACGCACAACATAGTAGATTAACGGAAGTAACATAGAATCGGTAAGTATCGGAGTATCGAGAAAGAGGTATATAACGTTTTAAGTAATTAGTAGCACGAGCTGTGATTTAGATACATACTCAACGCGCGAAGACACGCGAGTACGCGCGTCCGTTCTGTTGGCGGCACTCGCGTGCCTCGGCGTCTGTTATTCGTAAGAAAATGAAAGCCGAAAACGTTCTCGACGGCCGATTTTGCGAAGAATTTTAACCTTCGAAACGCACCTAGATCCCGAAATTTCGCAAACATTCCTCGAACACCGTGGAAACATTTCTTGTCCCTGTTCGTGCATTCGAAAACGATCGAAAGCTCCGAGGGCGGCGTCGATTCTAGGGATGCTCGATTCTTGCAGAGGAATCGATCTTTAATCGAAGTTAAGAAATTAAAAATAGTAAATGTTATTTCGCCAGAACGGACATCCCTAAAATTGAATTCAAAATGCAATGGCTTGTGGTCTTGTAGAATCTTCGATCTTACCTAAAACAAATTTATATAGTTTCTTTGGAATCGTTGAAGTCGTCGGTGCTATAAACAGAAATGTCTTTACGGAAGATTAAAATAAATAAATGTGAACGAGTATAGTGAGGGAGATTTTTTTAAGTGAAACTAACGTTTCCCCCTTTATCTTTATAGCACTGAATCGGAACGTGTATAAAATTATGTAAATTTGTTTGCATAAGACCGAAGATCCCAGAAATCGAACATCTCTGAGTGACTCTAGCCGTAAGCATGTTCGACGCGAGCTTTTTAAGGGTCATAGACGTAAGAATTCATTTTACAATGAAACGTATAGCTCGACAAGTTCAACCTAGCAATATCACACCTACAAGTATTAAGCTTAGAATATTATAAAGCCAAAACTAGAAAGCTTTTTATTCCGACACACCGGTGACGAAATGGTCTCGAAATTCACCCATGAAAATCGATAAAAGTAGAGATTAAGTGGCTCGGAAAAATGATTTCACTAGCACGCAGTTACCGAATAGCGCAAATAGTTTTCAAACTTTACGATCTATTGAGAATCAGAGCATAAACGTACTTTATGGGAATTGTAAATGAATTCATCGCAAAAATGAGTAGGAATGTAGTACCTAACTATAGTATTCCAGGGTTAATAAGGTCCCTGAGGTAATGACTCGTGGATAAGCGAGTGATGGAGAGCAGGTGATTAAACAATACCCTAGAGGTCTGTAGCCTAACTATCCTGGTCTCATTTGATTCTATCTCAAAGTAGTTAGGGAAGGATGACAAAGACCGAGATCGAACCGAATCCAAGGATTTTGTTTAACTTGTTGAGCTATACGTCGTACTGTGTCGTTCGACATGTATCATACGTCGGATTGTATACTTGGTGAAACGAATATCACGATCTCGTAGAAACTGCAGGGTGCAGACAACTCTAAAGTCTGGAATCTACTCTACGGCCAACAGATTGCTATCACTGTGGGAAACCTTTGTTTAAAACTTTTTATCCAACAAGAATACTCAACGGACCACACAAAATTAATAGATTCTGGGGTACACAAAATTGTGGACAATTTTTAAATATCAATCTTTGTAACAAAATTTAAACAAAGTTAAACAGATGCTTACGTGCTTTACTATTAAAAAAAACAAACTGAAGTGAAGCAAACTTTTGACATATGTATTTTGAGCAAAGATAAAAGTGCCTATCCCACGAATATCGGACTCGAGGGCTCGTTGTATTCGTTCCACCGATTACACAGCCCTACCACTTAACAATTATCGTTGAAACAGTTATATCGACGATGTGCACATTATTGCACGAATAATCGTTACGTCGTTGGCCCTTATTTCATGACGTCCAAGCCAACCGGTTTGGAAAACCTAAGCGCGAGATTCATGACTGGAAGAACCGCGCCATTCGTTTCCAACACTCGCGTCGGATTTCATTAATTACACCGAAGGACGGATATTAATATGTTCGCTCGTTCTTTCGTCCATTATCTCGATCCTCGTTACCGGTGCCTTAGAAATAAGTCTGAACACGAGTATTAAGTAAACCCTTTTCTGTTCCCTTAACGCGAAACTGCCTTGCCGCAGCGATCGTATTTGCGGGTTTCTCACGACGTTCCTTGCCAAATCGTAAACGGGAAGCCAACACAAGCGAAGGAATGTGTAATTATACACCCCGTTAATCACGTCGGCGCGGTTACGAGTACGCTTAACACTTTTGCTCGTGACTTTTAACCCTACGAGATGAAAATTTGATTTTCGAGGCGCGTCGAATCGTTTGAAACTGTTTGACTCTAGGCTCCGAGACCGGTTTGTTTACAAGGGAAAATTTAGCACAACGATTAGAGACTTTTGTCATTTTACAACGAAAAGATGCATTTGATTTATTTTCAAGCGTACTTACTTGAACCGTTTGACGCAATAGTATTATAAGTAAAACTAACGTTGTTGAATTTGTATCACCCAATCTGTTCTCGAATATAGAATCTAAATGTTTTTAATATTTTAGCGACCGGCGAAGTTGAGTTTGCACAGCCAACTCAAGGGGTTAATGAACACGTAGAAGATGTTAAATAATAGGTAAAATTGTATTTAGTTTAAAAATACGTGGAATTCAACGTGCTAAATTTCACAAGCCACGAGCGAAACGATCGAAGTCGTGAATCCCGCGATCACTTCTTTTCCCCCCACTCAGCTTCCGTGGCTCTTGGCTGGCTTCATTTTTTTTTTATCGAGCCCTTGTGATGAGATCGACGCGAGAAACGACTATCTTCGTTAATACCACGTTTATATACTCGCTCGTAAAGTTTCATTTCCAATTAACGGTGCGCCGTTCGCGTCGAAGGACGAAGCGATATGTGCATTTCTTTGTGCAACGCAGGGAAATCGAGACCACGGTATGAAAATGGCGAAGCGGTTTAAAGAAATTCCCGATCGGTATGTTAATTAATCGAAATTAGAAGAACGATTCGCGGACGATGATTTAAAATTTCTCCGAATCGCGGGGGAAAACCGTAGGCTAAAAAGTAATTTGCTCATTTATGAGTACCTAAAAAGACAATAATT